CTCTAAATGAGAACCTTTCCTAACTCTGCTCCCCCTCCTTGGTTTTCTGAGCCTTTAGACAAGGCATTTGTTGGTGGGATTTTATTTTTTGTTCCTTTGAGACAGTGTCAGTATGTAGTTCTGGCTGCCCTGGAACTTATATGTAGACCGTACTGGGCTCAAGCTTACCAGGATCCATCCACCTCTGCTTCCTGAGTATTGGGATCAAAGGTGTGTGCTACCATGCCTGGCTCATTAGTTTCATTTTAAATGAATGCAAACATTCTGGAAAAGAAAATGGTAATGCATCGTAAGACATATATACATACAATTGTTTGTTTATTTTTGTTTTGTGTTTTGCTTTTTGAGACAGGGTTTCTCTATAGCTTTGGAGCCTGTCCTGGAACTCACAAAGATCTGCTTGCCTCTGTATCTCCAGTGCTGGGACTAAAGGTGTGTGCCATCACTACTCAACTTAGATACATGTTTAACTTTGGACCTAGTATGAGGAAATAAGATACATACATACATACATACATACATACATACATACATACATACACACATACATACATACATACATACACACATACACACATACATACATACACACACACACATACATACATACATACACACATACACACATACATACATACACATACATACATACATACATACATACACACACATACATACATACATACATACATACATACATACATACATACACACATACATACATACATACATACATACATACATACATACATACATACACACATACATACACACATACACACATACACACATACATACATACATACATACATACACACACATACATACATACATACACACATACACACATACACACACATACACACATACACATACACATACATACATACATACATACACACACACATACATACATGCATACATACATACATACACACATACATACATACATACACACACACACATACATACATACATACATACACAGTGAATAGGCTCTAAGTCAGACCCCCCACTTCAGACCAGACAGAGCACAGAGCTGGCACTGTAAATTGAAGGAAGAGTAAATCTTGTCCCCCAAGATTAGTTTACTTCATTGCATTTAGTGCTGAGGATCAGACCCAGGGTTTTGCACATTCTTGGCAAGCAATTTAACACTGAGTTACATCTCCAACCCTCTTAGTTAAGTGTAGTTTATTTATACACACACACACACACACACACACACACACACACACACACAGAATTATATAACTTATAGAATACTGACAAGGGCAGATGCAGTTTTCCTCCAGGTGTTTCTGGTCTTGGTTTGGTTAGGTGGTCATAGTAGGGTGTGTCTGTGTCCCAGATACTTAGGCTGAGACAGGAAGGTTGAGCCCTGGAATTTGAGCCCCTCCTTCCCTTGACACTACAATATAGTAAGAATTTTTAACAAGGAAAAAAAAGATGGAAATTCATTAACACCATGACTATAGAACCTGGAGGTATGGAAGAGTGGCTATAATCTAAAATATTCACATCAATGGAATGTTTGTTTAGTTATAGTAGATCCAATTAGTGAAATTTTATTTAGTCATTAAAAACAGTTTGAATTTGTAAACAACAAAGTACATGTCATTTTCAAGGTTATGCCACTCACCATAGGATATCAGTGTGGCTGATTGAGTTTTTACAGGCAATTTAAGAATTAAGGTTTAGGCCGGGTAGGGGTAGCACATGCCTTTAATCAAAGTACTCAGAGGCAGAGGCAGAGGTAGGCAGATCTCTGTGAGTTCGAGACCAGCCTGATGTACAAGAGCTAGTTGGACACTAATAAAAAAACTGATATGAAAGATACCTGATTTTTCTTATTTATTTTTATTTCTTTAGTCTACTGACAAGGAACTGAGAGACATCATGGCATTGCTGGCAGCTCAGCAGACTGCTCTGGAAGTTATTGTCAACATGTGCTGCAGTGAAGGTTTGCTCCCAATGTACACTGGACATTCCCCCACCTGGCTCCCACTCCTCATACCAAGGGCAGCTTCCGTGAGAGTTTCTTTGATACCCCAGTAATGTCTTGTTTGCCCCTTTTTCCTCAGATCTCTCTGATGATGAATGGTAAGAGCTTTCTAGTAGTGATGAAAGTGAAGCCTTTATGGAAAACTCCTTCAATGAGTGCAGTGGGCAGCTGCTGTCCCATGAGATTCACACTGCTCTTACCAACTGCCTCATCCCAAAGAAGGTAATCTAGTTTTACCCTGGCCTGCGGTTGGGGAGTCGGAATGGCTGGTGGGAGCTGTTTACTTGCAGAGCAGAAACTGGCAGCTTGGGTGTAAAGCAGAACTGACAGAACTAGAAATGCACTCGTGCTCTGACTCTGCTAATTTGTAAACTATGAGAAAAGTCCCATTTAAGATAATTTCCCTTCTATCTTTTCCTGTTTCCATTTCAAACCTGGGTTTTTGAGAAAACTGCTTCACCAAACAGTATTGCTGTTGACATATGATCTAGGAACCCTACTTGGAAACCTTTGATTAAAAAGTAAGAACTTTTCTATGTTCAGAAACAAAAACATCATTTTGTCATTATGTGAAGTGTTGTAATATTGACTAGAAAATGCTCCCAAGAGCAGCCAGGAGAAGTTTGTGCCCAGTGTGCTTGGATACCAGTGTGAGAATGAATCTTCACAGCAGTGTGGGTCATAGTTGTCCCAACTTGGAAACAGCCTCGATGTCTGTTCATGGTCATATGGAACCACTCACAACACAGCAGAATTTACTGTGTTGACCAGAATGAATAAGACATAAAATGTGTACTCTGTGGTTCCATTTCCACAAAGCACAAATCTAAGCACACTCAGGACACATACAAAGTGTCTCTCCTATGAAGAAGCAAGAAAGAAACCAGGCCTGGGGTGGGGGTCTGTAATCTCAACTGCCCAGGGCTGATCATAAGTTCAGGAAGCTTATTGAGACCCTGTCTTCAGATTTTTTAAAAGTCAAAAGTGGCCAAGTTCAGGGTAGAGTGCTTGTCTAGTATGAATGGTGCCTTGGGATCAGGCCCTGGGACAGCAAACTATAAATTCAAATGAAAAAATAAAAGCAAGGAGTTTGCTATTCAAGGCTGAATAGAGACTTATGACTCACAGTGAGTGCACTCATAGCCCTTGAGTTCTCAGGTACTTTGATTGGCAGATTAACAGGTCACATTATTCTTTGTGACCAGATCCCCTTGAACTTGTAGGTACTCTTAATCTGAAGTTTACACATGGAGGCTCGTAAGTCTAATCCCTGTATTCAAGAGGATCACAGAGTCAAAGCCAATGCAGACTTGACAGTGAGCTCCAGGATAGCCTGGGGTACAAGTAAAAGTCACTTGACCCATAGAATTCCAGTGTACTAGTTTACAGAAACAACGCTGTTCACTTTCTTTGCAGATTGAACACTATTCAGTGGAGAGCCCTTATGTGCCTCCAGAGTCTTGTGTCTCTCCTGGACATGTGTCTCTCCTCCATTTCGGAGGAGCCCCAGCTCTTCAGAAACTTGCACAGCACCTGACACAGCTTCTTTTTTCTCAGCCTGGTAAATATTTAGAAATTACTGTGAAAGACATAGTAATGAAAATATATTAGTAATAGTAATGAAAGACATTACAACTTAGACATAGCAGAACGTTGAAGGATAGTGACTTGAACTCTATAGATGGAGTATTATCTTATTTATCCTGCAGAAACCTTTTCCAGACTCATTCAGCCACGTATTATCATTGCCAATGACAATCAAGGGGTGACAGTAGGTTTGTGTGTGTGTGTGTGTGTGTGTGTGTGTGTGTGTGTGTGTGTGTGTGTTTAAAATTAATGTCAATCTGGGCAGTGATGACCTATGCCTTTAAACCAGCACTTGGGAGGCAGAGACAGGCAGATCTCAGTGAGTTCCAGTACAGCCAGGGATACACAGACCAAAAAAATCCTGTCTGGAAAACGAACAGAATAAAAAATTAATGTCAAGCCAATTAAAATAAGTCATATATATCAGGTTCTTATTAGGATATTTGAGTAGTACTTGTATTCTTTTTTAGGATTTTATACATGAATACTATATCTGTATTGTTTTTACCCCCCACTTCCTCCTGTCTTCCCCTTATCACCCTCTCTTGAATTCATGATCCCTTCTATAGTTATTCCTATTACAAACTCACCAAGAACATAGGCACACAACCCTCCCATTACAAACACACCAAGAACATAGGCACACAACCCTCCCATTACAAACACACCAAGAACATAGACACACAACCCTCCCATTACAAACACACCAAGAACATAGGCACACAACCCTCCCATTACAAACACACCAAGAACATAGGCACACAACCCTCCCATTACAAACACACCAAGAACATAGGCACACAACCTTCCCATTACAAACACACCAAGAACATAGGCACACAACCCTCCCATTACAAACTCACCAAGAACATAGACACACAACCCTCCCATTACAAACTCACCAAGAACATAGGCACACAACCTGCCTGCACCCCCCCCCAGTACTGGGATTAAAGGAGTGTACCACTCAGACCAGCTTCTTGAGGGCATCTTGCTGGCGCTGTCGTTGTGGTTTTCAGTCTTTACAGCTCTCTAGGGCTGTGGATAACATTTCCCCCTCCGCAGCTTGCATGGCACCCTCAGCACTGTGAGAGCCAGCCTTCAGGACAGAGGCTTCCTGGTAAGCACCAGGTTTATCTCTCCTAAGTTCGGTGAGTGCAGTATGTGGTGTCTTCAGCCATAAGGTCCACCTTGGTGTTCTGGCAGGCAACCAAGAGAATAGCAGTAGTCCATATTTTTTTGGAGATTTCCTGTGCCTCCCCCAATCCTATTCCTTTTTGGGGGGATGGGTTTGAGACAGGGTTTCTTCGTGATTTGGAGGCTGTCCTAGACCAGGCTGGCTTCGAACTCACAGATATCTGCCTGCCTCTGCCTCTCGAGTGCTGGGATTAAAGTTTTACACCACCAACGCCCAGCTCCCAATCCTACGCTTATAATTGAAATTTAATTGGGCAATACACATACAGTATGGAGGACAACAGCTAGGGAGAAGGTGAGGTGGGCAGCCTCCTTCCTTTCCATTCCACCCAGTTCTCAGAGGTGTCGTTAATACACTAGTTCCATTTAAGCAGCTGCTTCCAGAGAGATTGATTCTCTAGAGATGAGATAGACCTAGGGAGGGGGCAGTAGACATGAATGCTGTAATACCAGGAACAGTTCTATACCTGGCTTTTGTCTGACATGTCTTTATTTAAACACCTTGGCTTGTAAAGAACTGAGTCACTTTAGTTACATGTCTCTGTCTTTAATTTCTGTGACAGTGCCATATCTTCTGACAATTAAGCTTAAATGACAGAAGTACCATTTAAATAACTGCCCAAAATTGTTTTGTTTTTTGTTTGTTTGTTTTATTCGAGACAGAAATTCTCTGTGTAACATCTCTGGCTGTCCTGGAACTCAGTTTGCTGTCTAGACTGGCTGCAAACTCAGAGATCCATCTGCCTCTGCCTCTTGAGTTCTGGGATTAAAGGCATGTGTCACTGCACCCAGCTCAAATATTTTAGTTAATCAAAATAAAATGTGAATCATACAATGTGCAAACTTTTAAAGACCTTTTAAAGAATACTTTCGCATCAGTTTTGGAGTATCCGTTGGACACCAGGCTTTAAGAAATGTGGGGGAGCTCTAGTAAGCCCATTGTTTAGCACGTGTTTCTTGACCTCTGTCTATGTCACATACCACCTAAGTCCTAGGGATAATGAGGAAAGAATGGTGTAAGGTGCTGTGTTAAATGTAAGGGGCTCTCTGGAGAGAGAACCTTTGAACTGGGATCACAATGAAATGAAACAGATCACATGTCATGTAGGATTTTGTCCAAAGTGTGTCTGATCCTAAGGTTGACCTATTGTCTGTTGTCCTGTAATAATTACAGGAATTCCCTTCTTTGGTACATACAATATCTGAAAATGAAAAGCCAAATGATATAAGCTTTGGTAATAATTTGTGGGGAGCTGGTAAGATGACTCCACATATTAAAAATTTTTTCATATACAAACCTGAGAGCCTGAGTTAGATTCTTGGATCCCAGTGTGGAAAGATTTCTGAGTGTTGTGCTTTGACCTCCATGCATATATACACATATACAGCTGCACTTACACATGGTAATGATAAATAAAAATTTTACAATTATGGACCTGACATGGATTGCATCTTTTGTAATCCCAGCACTTGTAAGGCTGAGGCAGGAGAATTTAGAGTTGAGGCCATCCTGGACTATAGGGAGACCCTGTTATAAGAAAATTGTGGGAAGCTATCCATCTTCCTCAGGCAATGTAAGAGGTGGTTTTAGAAATGGAACAGTGTCCCAGGCACACAGAGCAATAAACCATGGCATCTACTGCTATTTAACAAGTCTGCCCCAAACTTTATGACTGAAGCAATAAGCTGCATGTGATTGGGTATATAGTTCAGTCTCTGTGTCTCAGGAACCTGAGACAGGAGGAGCCTGAGTCCTGAGTTCTAAAGCAGCCAGAGCACCACATGCTACCCTGTCTCATGCTTATTCTGAGTCTCTCTATGCCTAGAACACAGGCAGAATGGGGGAGTTGATTTGTCTCCATTCTACAATGTCTGTAGGCAGTAATTCTCCACAAGGGGCAATTGCTCCTCTTGTGGAGGACATTTGGTAATGTTTGAAGATATTTTCAATGGTTGCTAACTGTCCTGGTGGTTGCTCCTGATATGCAACAAGTGTGTGTGTGTGCATGTGTTTGTCAGTGTTTTCTCGCCACAGCATGGCATGGCGCTCCTGTGGAGGCCTGCTGTGGAGGCTAGAGCTCAGGCCCTCCAGCTTGAGTGGCCCTTCTTGGAGCCCCTGCTGGAGCAGGCCAGGCTCCTTGCACCTGGTGGTTGCTGCAGCCCTGCGGGTGCCCGGGAGGGGCGGGGACAGTGGCCACAGCCATTTGGACCCAAGTGTCGCCTGGTTCCAGCCAAAGCAGCTTGGACCGTGCAACAGTCTGTGGATGCAGATCTGGAGACAACCAAGGGCTGAGGAACCTCTACTTGAACCACCACTTGGCAGCAGCGGCTTGAGGGGTGGGAGCAGCACGGGCAGTGGCACAGCCAGAGGCGGGGGCAACAATGGACATGGCTCTGGATGGCATTTTCTGCTCCGGTGAGCGACCTCTGGGTGGCCTCACAGTACCCAAGGAGCAGCGGGACTTCCTGCCGCTGGAGATGACCAACAACCACCACCACCACCAGATGGCGGCCTGGGCACGGCGGACAGCGGTGGGCCCCTTGGCATCGCCATTCCTGTCCACGCCCTCGTCCCTGTGTTCCTTGGCCTTTCAACCCCCCCCCCCTCCGAGCAGCAGCAAGAACAAGACGCAGGACAACAAGGCCAGCACCTATGGACTCAACTACAGCCTGTTACAGCCCAGCGGAGGGCACGCGGCAGGGGGCAGCCTGGCGGATGGTGGCAGGGCCTGTACAGAGGGATCCAGTGGAAGCTGAGGAACTACAACCAGGGAGTCATGGGGTAAGTGCTGGCGCTGTGGCCTTTGCCAGGCACACATGCACAGCGGGGCACACGCCCACAGGGGGCTGAGGGTGGGGAGCCCTTGTGTGTCCTTCCCCAGAGCATAGGTGGCTTTTCATTTCTTCATCTCTTTCTTGGCCAGCCTCAGTTGTGCTTTCTTTGGAATTCCCTTCAGCTGTCCATGTCTGCCTTCCTTCTCTCCTTCTAGCTGTCCATTACCTCCCAATGCATTCTCATTGCCTTTCTGCCTTCTTCCATACCCGCTGATCCCCTTCCTGCCCTGCACACCTTGGTCCCCATCACCACACCCCAAGGTGAAACCCCCTACTGCTGGGATAGTATTACCTTCCTGAGAACGTTCTTGCCTTAGCGTTCTTGCCTTAGCGTCTTTAGATGCTTAGGAACAGGAGGTCCTCTTCTTGCCAAGAATAGAATCATCTAGAATGCTCCTTCCCTCCAACAACCCCAGACAAGAATCTTGTCAGCCTTGAAAGTCACTGTCTGCTCTTGACCCTTTGGCCTGTCTTTTATGTTTATTTAAAAAGAAAAAAAAATCTTGCGTTTGCTACACCTAGACTGTCCTGAAAGAAATCACTGAGCAGAAACCCACTTCCCCTTCAGCCTGGGAGCAGGCAGCTGTGTAATGTTTACTGAAAACAATTCAGTGCTTTAAAGTTCTTGACAGGGCTCAGATAAGGGCTTGCTCACTGAGATACCATGACTTTCACACCCCCTATGGCTAGATGCCTCTTCCTGTCCCCCCTGCGGTGTCTCCCCAATTCTGGGGCCGGAGATTAAACCACCAGCCAGGAGGGTGAGAAGTCTGGAAAGAATTGTATGTAGATGGATGGCAGAAGTCCTTAAAAAGGGATTTTTCTTGGAGAGACTTCTCCTGAGAGCTCTCTCCTAAGTGGACTGGGGTCTCCTCCTAAGCTGACTTGGGAAGCATAAAGTTTTCTTAAAGCAACCGACCGGTCTCTGTGTCATCTATCCCGACCACCTCGCTACATTCTCGGATGCAGGCCGCACAGCAGGTGCGACAATGGTTGGCAGCTTCTCACTGTGAAGTTGTCACTGTGGCAGACAGTGGTGCTAAGTGTGTGAATGTTGCCCCACTAGTGACTTTGTGTTTAACGTTCAGCTCTTACAATTTCCCCCTTTCATGGAAAAGTGCAGTGGTGTGGTTCAGGGCTGGTGCTGGGGAATGCCTCAAAGCTGCCCGCATTTTCTTCAGTCATTTTTGTCAGCTTCAAGGGTGCTCTCCATGGTCATCACCTTTTACTAAAGACTTGTGCTTCCATCCTGCTAACCTTTCTAAGCATAAACCTGGGGTTTGTTGTAGTTGC